ATGTACTTTCCGAACACCACTGCTGTTAGCAAAATGTGGGGAAAAAATCAGGTGACACATGACACCATTCTGTAATGTAGGTGGCTTTGCACTAGAAATATGTGGTGTGTATATATATCATTTCTTGTCAAAAAAAAAAAATCCCAGTGAGAATTGGCACAGACACTGTGCTGCTTTTGGACTCAGTGGAAGGTCAGCACTGCATCTTGGTCTGCTGCTGGATCATTCTTGGTGGTTCTCTACATGTTCCTGGGTCTGCTGTACTTTGCCTACACCAAAGCATTTAATCACTAAAAAAGATGACTGAATATATCAGTCCATTATCATAGCTAAATAACAAACCTCAAGTTCAGAGCTGATGTAAAGATGCTGCTCTGCAAATGCATCCATCAGGTGCCGCTGCTTGCTGTAGCATCGGCTAAAATCATTCAAGTTATCACAAGACTTGCACAGCACCTAACAAAATCAGTTCATCAGTGTTGTTTGTCATGCTGCATACAAAATGCTATGACTGTATTTTAATAGTTCTAATTCATAGCTTGAAGTGTAGAGGAACAAGGGTGCTGAAACATGAAAAAGACCGATAGCTTATACTCATACTTTTCTGCTCAGTATGGCCAGAAAGCTGATTAATGCAGCTTTAATGAGGCACCGTGGGTTCTTACCTTAGCTGTTCTAGTGGAATAGTGGTTTTCTGTGTTGATGTTGTACTTGTCAATCAGTGACTTGCCTGGGAGCAAAATGTCCACATCCAGATCGTACTCTGGCTCTTTAGCAGTGGCCCAGTACTCTGATACAGCCTGGTACACCATTATAGCAGCCTGGGAAGAGACATAACCAAGAGGCCACTCATCAGTTGATTATCGAACCTGATATCCTGCATATTTATTATCATTTGTATTTTGAACACTGATTCCTGATAAAAATGGACAGATGAAATGCGTACCTATTATGACTGTAAATACCTGTGATTTTTGCACCTTCATTAACATTTGCACCTTTACTGTAAATATGAATAATGTCAGCCCCGTATTTCTTCAACCAGCACGATGTGCAAGTTCTTTCGTACATTGGTTTTCTTGTGGTTCTTGAATACAAAACGAACGAGCTACTGCAGGGTTGTCGAATCCTGGTCCTCGAGGGCCGCAATCCTGCAAGTTTTAGATGTTTCCCTCTTCCAACACACCTGATTCACATGATCAGGATCGTTATCAGGCTTCTGCAGAGCTTGATGATGAGCTGATCATTTGAATCAGATTGGACATAATAAATGCCATGTTTGAGCATAAAGTGGCTCATAAGTGTACTTGCTATCAGAGCACCTTAGGCTAAAGGTTGATGATTGACTTTGTAGTTGTGCCATCAGATCTGCAGCTGTATGCCTCGGAGTGTTGGGTAACGAAAGGAGCAGAGCTGTCAATTGATCACCACCAGGAAGCAGCAGATAGGTACCAGTCGATCAAAAGGGCAACAGCAGTTGTGGAAGCTAAAACTAGGGTGTGGGAGGAGTTTGGAGAGGCTGTGGAGAAGGACTTTCGGTTGGCGTTAAGGAAGTTCTGGCAAACTGTTTGATGCCTCAGAAAGTGGAGGCAGGCCTGGTGCAGGTGTGTACAGCTGTGGGGGAGAACTGCTGACTGCTAACTCCTTAACTAAGGTAACGTGTGGTGATCCAAGTTTGGTGCTGTACTGTATGTGAAACTGTGTTTTAGTGTATGTGCTTGTGGTTGCTGTGGCAGTGACCGTGTTTTCAGGCTGGGCGGGGTTTTCCAGACAGGAGAACACTCACTCTCCTCCACACCAAACGTGCATTGGCAATCAGTGCTGGACAAAGCCTGTCTCCACCTGTGCTCCAGCGCCAGTGGATTATCCTCCTCAGAGTGGTAACAGGCCAGCCGTGCTTTGAGAACTTTGTGCTTTGTGATACCTGCTCTGTCTAATGTGTGTTTCGTCTGTGCTTTTTGCCAGAACCTCCCTGATGGATCGTCACATCCCCAGCTCAGCTTTGGCAGCAGAACCCCAGCCTCAGTCGTCTCATCTCCAGGTACCCCCCCCCCAGGAAACTTCCCCAGGATCCCTCTCACTCACTCGGCTTCCCTCACAAGCTTCCCGATGTCCCTTGATTCCCTGCTATTCTAAAATAAATCCCTCTTGTCTTCACTCCCAAACCCTGTGTTGCATTTTTGGATCCCTCCTTTGACTGAACCTTCACAACATGTCCTCTGCTGAGGAGGCAGAGCCTGAAGACTTGGGGGAATCTTGGTCCATATCTGTGGTAGAAGTAGTCAAGAAACTCCCCAGTGGCAAAGCGCCAGGTGTGGATGAGATTCGCCCCGAGATGCTGAAGGCTCCGGACATTGTTGGATTGTCTTGGCTGACATGTCTCTTCAGTGTCAGCCAAGCGTGGGCATTGGGTACGGTGCCTGTGGAGTGGCAGACTGGGGTGGTGGTTCCCATTTTAAAAAGGGGGGAACCGGAGGGTGTGCTCCAAATATCGGGGTATAACACTTCTCAGGCTCCTCTGGAAAGTTTACTATAGGGTGCTGGAAGGAAGGCAACAACCACATGTCAAACCGGTCTTTGTAATGCAGCCATGCAGAAAGAAATTAGTTTTGGAAAAGAGTTTTTCAATTTTGTTAAATTGTATCATCAAAAACTGTTGAAACATGCACTTACAGACTTAAGAAAGGGCATACACACACCTAACAAAAGCAGAAAGGAAAATCCTCTTGTTATTGCGTAACATTCATTTGCTGATGCTGTAGAAATTTCTACACTGCTGAATTTCTGTGTGATCAGATAAGAGAAGTTGTGGGTGTGTAAATGATGGCTTTCTTAAAAAGAGGAAGAACAAATAGTTCACATGTCAAGAACCAAAAACGAGATTCACATCTCAGATCGGCACCATTTGAAGACATCACTGGAACCAACAGCCGTGTCACTGTCCACTATGTATAACATGAAGATGGTTGTCCATGAAGAAGAACCTGAGATCTCAATGTTTCAGAACTTCAGAGCTGCTTCTCGCGGTGATGCTGCATCAAAGGGCCGCTCTGGTGAAGACAGTACAGTCGCTGCCGCAACACCTGGTGAGACGCAAAATGTCCAGTTACACAATAATTTTGAAGTTTAGTGTTAAACATAAACGTGAAACAGACAAAATCGTTAAAATTAACATACTGTGTTGTATATTAAACTGTAAACTTTGAAGTAATGCAAAATGTTCATCTAAATTTTTAGAAGTCCTCCAAATACCTCAGTGATGTGAAAATATTTGTTATTTGCATTGGCTATTTAATCGATTTTGAGTCTTGTTTTACCTAATTTTCATTTAACTCCACTGTAAAAATTTACCTTTTTTAAACTATAATTTTTAAAAGTAATTCACTGATATATTGATATAAGGCTTGGGTGACTGTGAACCTCCAGTCAGTGTAAAGCTTGATCAGATTTTTCATGTACTTGTATTAATAATTTCATAAGAACATCACTCAGCTTATGTAATCATATTGTAGAGACCAAGGCAAGTAGTGATGATTATCAGACTCAGGAAACTATCGTGGTCATTGCAACTTCCTGTGTGCATGTGTGTGTGTGTGTGTGTGTGTGTGTGTGTGTGTGTGTGTGTGATCCCTCACTCAAATGTCACGGATGTATTCACATCTGAGTTTGTATCATTTGGGACCAGACATTAGGTTTTGAAAAAGAAGACAGAGAGTAGGTGGAAAACAACAAGGAACACCTCAACTTCCTCAAAATGTTCTCCACTAATCTATTAGGGAATAGGTGGTTTTTAGAATAAGGGTTGGGTTACAGTAAACCTCCAGGAAATTGATCTGTCAGTATAAAGTTTGATCAGATTATTTATGTACTTGTATTAATCATTGTTCAGTTTGTATAGTCACACTGTAGAGAATTTAATACCTTTTGGGGACATAAAGCTCTCAAAGTTCCAATAACAGCAATCATTACACTATAAGGCGTGTGTGTGTGTGTGTGTGTGTGTGTGTGTGTGTGTGTGTGTGTGTGTGTGCGTGCTACACACAGGATTTAAACTCTTCAGGCTGGTTGCTGTGAGTTTGGGACTCTTGTGTATCCTACAAGCTGCTCTCAACATTTGCCTGCGTCTGACTCTCAGTAAGTCATCTTTGCACCAAACTTAAGAATGTCATCATGCAGCGCTTATTCTTCGCAGTAACTGATAACTAATAAATAACGGTAACCTCTCCACTAAAAATGACAGTTTCACAGCGTAACTCGTTGAGAGAAGAGAGAGACGAGCTGAAGAAGATGAACTCCGGTAAGTGTGATGAAAAACTACAGCAATAATCAGGCCTCGAATGTCATGAGGTGTTGGTCTTGATATGATAATGTTTTATTGGGGACGTTTCTCTGAAATGGATCAGTGAGTGAGTTCTAGGAGAACAATCAAGCTCTGCAAACAAAACTATAAAGCTATGACTACACAAACAAGACTCAATTATTAATGAGTTATTATCATTATTAGTCAGTAAAATTAATCTCCAGTCATGCTTTTCAGCTGTCAAAGCTGTGGTCCAACACATCTTAAAGCTGCTGTTGGTATAAATCTAGAAAAACCCTCCTCCTGCACATCCAGTTCGGTTGTTGTGAGACCATTAAATCGACCTTATTAATTGTTACTATTCCTGTGGTTGGCTAAAGTCTCCCGTCATTTTTGGTTTTTTTTTTAAGTCCATTTTATTTTGTAGTATCTACAATATTGTGTAATTACTTTTCTGTTTGTATGTTTAAAAAACACAACTCCAACTACAATTAAAACAACAATAATAAAGCGTTTAAAATTGAGCCCCAAACCCCACAAAACTGTTCTTTGAAGGCCCTTTATGAGGGGTTTCTCAAGGAATCATTCTGAACTCAAAAGGTAGCTCCACAATGTCAATGATGAGAACAGGTTTCTCATGGCTCTCCTACATCTAAGAATGCCGTCTGCCTCCCAGTCTGCTGCCTTCCTGCCTGATCCTACCCCACCCAAACTCCCAGAAGCCACCTGTTAGGAAGTTTTCCAGAAGACAATGTGTCTCTCAGCGATGTGAGACACCTTGGATGCTCTGCTGTCCTGCGTTGCCCGCTTGCTTCAGCTGAAGTTGCCAGTCTGTGTTGTGGGTGTTTTAGATTTCCAGCTCCTTTGGTTTGGAAAACTCCAGAGTGCTGTTTCCCCCAAGTCTTTGACTGAATACTTCCCTAAGGTCCTGGTAATGTCTGCCTGCTTTGCATTCCAGTCACCATTTTTATTCCATCTGTCTGCCTGTCCTGCAATACCTGGTTGGCCTTGAAGGTCCTACCTTCACTGCAGTCATCCTGCTTGACCTCAAAAATAGCCTCCTGCTGATCCTGATGAAGGGACCCGCTGTAGGTCTTCCTGCTGTCCTTTCAGACTGCGTTCTCCATTTGGATTTTACCGTCACCCTCACGTTTATCTTTCTATCTCACCCTGCAGAGTAGATCTAGTTTGTCTCCTGTTCATCACCAGAAGTGATTCTGCTGCTGCCACACTGCCTCTTACTTGCCTGCTCGCTCATCTGTCAACCGGCCTGGAAGGTGAAACCAACAACATTTAACTGATGATGCAATAGATTATGGAAATTCTGTTTCAGATGCTATGGCCTGGAGCAAAAGTCTTACAGAAGAAAGAGATGAGCTGGAGAGGAAGCTAAACAACTTCAGTACGTATGACAATAGAACAACATTATTAATCAAAGTATACATCCAAACAGATGGTCCACTATTGGGCAAATATATTAGTCACATGTTACATACGAAGGTAAACATTAACTGGATTGACTTTATATGGTGTTTTTCTTTTTTGATATTTATTGTGAATTAGATTTTTGTTGTTGTTCTGTTTCCCCTTAATTTTCAAACACTGCCTTTTCACCTTCATGTCAATTATTTATGAGTTCTTGTTCAGAAAAATGTTCTGGTTCTTTTGTGTGTTTTTCTCGAAGCTCAACATTGTGAATGGGTCAATTTCGACAGTAGTGCTTATTGCGTTTCTTCTACCATGAAAAACTGGCAAGAAAGTAGAGATGACTGCATTCAAAAAGGTGCAGACCTGGTGATTATCAACAGCCAAGAGGAGCAGGTTGGCGTGTGAGAATATATGTATCTGAAACACGGCTTATCGACACTGGCTTCATTTCTGTTGTTTACATTTAGTTTCTCTATTTGTAAACTAGCATTTCCTTCTCCAATTCGAGAGGTTCGTGTGGATCGGACTGACTGACTCAACAGCAGAAGGGGAGTGGAAATGGGTGGACGGGACTCCAATGAACGAGAGGTGCATACATATTTTCAGTAAGAATTGAACCATTTTCCTGTCAGATTTGCTGGACTGATGTTGGGTTTAGTTTGACTACTTTTTGTTTCAGCTACTGGAGCAGCCAAGAGCCTAATGGTGGCACAAATGAAAACTGTGGAGAGGTGAAGCGTATTTTTTCTACAAACAGCTGGAATGATGAAGAATGTTCCATGAAACACTCCTGGATATGTGAAAAGAGAGTTTCTCCATAATTCTGCGTGCAGACCCTGCAGATGATATGGAAAACTGAGCAGTGACATGCAGACCAAAGGAAGCAATGGTGCCACTTTTCCATTGTTTCAGCATATTTACATGGCAGATCTCCACACAAACAACCTGAATATGCTCGTGTGGACAACAACATGCTTTGCAAATTTGCTGGCTTAGTGTGGATATAGACTTAAAGGTCACTGATAAGCTTCAGGTTAAGTGGCCAAACACACAGAAACAAAGTACATCAAGGGTCACTGCTTTGCCTGTGTATTGAAGACTTTAATATATTATACATGCTTTGCCTAATCTCTAAATAAATGTCTTCTGTTTCCTCATTAGTTGTAAATGTCTCCCTTAAAGAACCCATTTTGTGAAAGTGACTTTTTTTTATTGTTTTGCTTTAACAAGTCAAGCACTATCAGACACATCAGTGAGGCCAGTGGGAGACAGAAACATCACAGAGGAGGTAACAGAGAGCAATTGCTTTGTCAAAAGTTTGTGAATTCGCTCAGTGAGCTAAATATCTTTTATTAACTTCAGGATTTCAATGCCAGAGTCCTGCTGCAGTTTTCACCATTTCTGAGGTTGAAGTGTTGGACTGAAATGTTTAGAGAAGTTTCCTCAAAATCTCTCTGAAGTATTTTTTAAAAACGGTCATCCAAACTTGGATGACTAATGGGTAAAAAAATAAATAAATAAATTCCATTACAGCCTCTGAGGCCTGTATTATCTGATAACCTGCCATAAAGATGCAAATCATCTCTCGGGTGATCTTTCAGGATGAGGTAGCAGGAACCAGCACAGAACCAGTCATATGTACACTTTAATGTATTTGTGTGACAAGACATCATTTATATGATCGTGTTAATCCTCACTGAAGTTAATATAGTTGCCACTGACCAGGGCTCAACTATAATAACTTGTTACAAGAAACGTCAAATGTGTTTGCAATATGTAAAAAGAAACCCACTGATAATAAAAACAGCTCTTCAGTCTTATGAGGTGTCAGATGTTCATTACTTTAATTCAGCTTTGAAATTTTGCTTTCCTTCTTTCAGTTCCATTAACAACACAAATACTGCTGACCTGTGTTTATGATGCTTAGTAGTTTCCTCGCTCTTTTTTTTTAGAATATAATCTTCCCTCCAAGCTTCCATCCATCCATTATCTATTCACCCAAAGTCAGCTGGAGTCTATCTCAGCTGACTTAGGGTGAAGGCAGGGGACAGACAACCAAGCACACTCACATTCACACCTACAGACAATTTAGAACCACCAGTTAACTTCAGCATGTTTTTGGACTTGTGGGAGGAAGTCGGAGAACCCAGAGAGAACCCACATTTTATGTCACAAATAAGGATAACGGCAAATTATCTGACCGAAAAATCTGACAGATTGGCTACGTTCAGACTGCAGGACTTAATGCTCAATTTGGATTTATTTGTGAAATCCGATTTTTTTGCGAGTTCATTCACATTTCCAATTAAATACGACTTATATGTGATCTGCTGTGTGAACTTCATACGACCCAAAGTGTCCCGCATGCGCAGAAGAGGACACGACGACGTCACACGCAGCAAGCGTGCTCGGTGTTTATGGAAGTAAACATGGATGGTAACGGTGGAGCGTATCTGCCATTCCCCCACCGCTACCGATGGTGGAAACAGAAGTGTGACCGCTGTTCTGAACTGGCATGTGTGTTCCGGCCACTTCCATCCCATCGGAGCACATCCTCGGAGTGGAAGTGGCTGGAACGTGCACAAGCACACCGCTCAAAGGTGTGAAATCCAGCGATGCGTAGTGTTCTAACAATACTCTAGTTATTATAACAACTATAAACAATAAATATTAACAATAAATGACCCTTCAAGCATCAAGCCCTCCTTGTACCTCAACCTCCCTCTTCTCAATCCGACAGCCTTGCTATCAACATAAAAGAAGGTTTTACATTTAGTGTCGGATTATAGAGTCACTACTGTATTTGTTTGGTTTAGAGAAAGAAGAAGAATTAGGTTTAAAAATGCAGTCTAACACTGCAAACCTGCAACAAAAACTAAATTCATGAAGGCTCTAAAGTTCAGTGATGCTCTCAGAGTTCAGAAGAACATTGTGCATAAATGTAAAAGAAGATTTTTTTTTTAAGTGAAATCAACAACAGTTAGTTTTTACAAAAGATATTGTGACATCCAATTTTTCAGCAACAGAAGTAAAGGTTTCATATTTTAATGTGAGTGAATCAGCTTTTTACTCGTCTAATTCAGCAGATACAGACAATTACAGAAGTACCACATGATGTGTTAAAGGGCGCAAACAGGAAACTGCGCTGGCTACAGTACATATCTCTCTGACAGTGTGCGGGGACAAGAGGACGGGAGGAAGAAACCTCATGACAACAGTAAACGCTAGAAGCAAACCGATGCTTTTCGAGGCTTGGCCACCACAGACCTGCATGTGAACATGTCAGAGGAAATACATGGCTGTGAATGTCGTGAAGACATCAGACAGAGACGTCTAGGTGGGTTCAAAAGGTCTTGAGAATGCAGCGTTTATTCATTGTTTTTATTCCTATTTTTTATTGACTGTTGAAGAGTGTGATTTTTACAAGTTTTATTTGTTTAATTAGTCTACCTGTTTGGGAAACACTTTGACACGAGCATTGACGGGATTGTTAACGTTTCCTCAGTTAGTCTGATATAGTGAGCTGAATTTGTGTGTCCTCACTCAGGTTCATTCGCGCTCTTTAAACGTGTCACCTTGCTCCATTTCTTTAAAAATGTTGCCAGTGCTATCACAGATCATTTTGAAATTTCAATTAAACAGTTAAAAGCTATTTTCTTAAAACGATAAAGCATGTTTTAGATAAATCAGAATTCTGCAAACTTCAGATTTAACGACAGATTTTTTAGAATACAATCTGTTGGTGGTCTTATTGTCTTGTGCTTGAAGAAAGATTGTTTGACCAAATCTAAGTAAATCGTCCTTTGCTTTGTCTTCATAAGCAACTTTGTCTTTATGATATACAGTAAAATACAAGGAGGATGTCTGTTTAAGAGCTTCTTCTACATCAGCTACACTATAAAAAAAACAACAAAACATCTGGCAGCAGAGGTACCAGAAAAATGCCTGACCAAAACAGTGGAATACTATTTAAATACAGTAAAACAGTGTAATTTCACAGTCACACATTGCAAAAAAATTTATATGTTATTTGTAAAAATATAGCCTGTAGATAGAGTTTTTGTATTAATTAATACTTTTAATTAATTACTTAAATTACTCGTTTTTGCTTAAATTTACTAATGTAATAAAAAATGGAGAATCTATAAAATCGATTCAAAAATATTTTTAAATATTGGCAAATATCAGCAAAATGATGATAATTTTGTTGATTTAAATACAGTAAAAAATAATGTAATCGGTGTAAAAGAACAAATCACTTTATGTAAAAATAATCAGAAATCTGTAAATGAGCATTATAATGACAGCAAGATAGCCAAAAAAAAAACCAAACATTTTATGACATCAATTCACATATAATTCATTTATTGTTACTGGCAACCATGTTCCTCTTTTTTGTGGTTGCAAACATACTTATATTTAAACAGTTGGTATTTCAGTGTGTATATCAAATCATTGTTGTGTTTTTTTCATCCAGGAAAACTCTGTAACCATATCATTTGAAGACCTGTATATTGTATCCAGCTGGAATTATCTCTCTGCATAAGACAGAACGCCTTAAAGAAAGCAATGCTTTCAAAGCTGACATAGTATTCATTTAGTTTTACTTGCACTGTTCAGGGGGGTAGCACTGTTGCCTCGCAGTAAGACAGGTTGCCGGTTCGCGTCCCGGTGGGGGCACTGGAATCTTTCTGCGTGGAGTTTGCATGTTCTCCCCGTGCAGCGTGGGTTCTCTCCGGGTTCTCCGGCTTCCTCCCACACAGTCCAAAAACATGTTGAGGTTAATTGGTGATTCTAAATTGTCCGTAGGTGTGAATGTGAGTGTGCTTGGTTGTCTGTCTCTAAGTGTGGCCCTGCGATGGACTGGCGACCTGTTCAGGGTGTCTCCTGTCTTCGCCCTAAGTCGGCTGGGATAGGCTCCAGCCCCCCGCGACCCTAGTGAGGATTAAGCGGTGTATAGATAATGGATGGATGGATGGATGGATGTTCAGATCAGCATCAGTATCATCAATCCAACAAAAATGTCAAATACATTTGCCTTGTTGCTTCAAGTCTGTCTTGGCATAGATGTAAAATTTTAATTTATAAAGAAATTACAAATTGCAGACTTATTCCTATTTCATTTACTGGCTCAGTGTAGAAAAAGTGAAATGAAAATTGTTTGACAGTGTTCTGCTCCTATAAGATATCTGCTATTTGTTCTGTGCAGGAAGGAAAGTGTACCGGCTGGCTGCTGTGACTTTTGGACTCCTATGCATCCTTCAAGCTGGCCTTAACGTTTCATTGCGTCTTTGTCAGAGTGAGTTTCATGAGTGAGCGGAAATAAGTTGTTTAGCTGTACAAAAACTGTTTTTATATTTTTTACTTATAGACGGAAGATCTTCACTTCTCAGTTGATCTGAACTGAATCTATCTGATCATTCTGCTACTGTGTCTACAAACTCTTAATATTAAACACGCCTGCAGCCCCGGAAAATAATTACATACACTGAAGGTTTACATACAGCCCTGTGTAAAACTTTACATAATTGATTTTATGCTTTTGAAAAACAGCCATTATTAAGTTTACAGTCAGTGCCTGTTCATTTCATAATTAGATTATGTAATTCAAAAAATTGTCTTTCTGGTAAGAATAAGATCATCACTTGTAATATACACAACATGACTGCAGTTTGTACAAGGATTTTCTTTTTAGAACACGTCAAGAATATAATTTTACACTCAGATTTTATGACAAGAAATTGCAAGACTTTCTATTAAACTGTACATACAGCTACTGCTAATTATTGTGCAACATACATGCATTTTACAACATAATATACAATGTTAATTTTTGTAAAAATACAAATTTGTGAAATGTTAAACAATATTTTAAACATTACCTATTTTTAATTTGTAATATACACAATCTTTTCAATTAATAATAAATAGTTGTATTATAATTATGTTTGTACTTATTTTAAAAGAGTATAAATAGTGTAATTTTACTGTCAAACATTTTTAAAGAATGAATAACCATGTGTAAAAATACAAAATGTATTGATGTGGGCATTATTCACAGTTTTGGCCTGTAGTTTCTGTCCCATTAGCATGTACATTTAAGAACAGTCACTGGCTGTAAATGCTTCAGCGGTTATTTTAAAACATTTTATAATGACAAAAAAAATGCACGTCCTTCTATTAAACATCGTCAGTCCTCATGATTATACAGCATGAATGCATTTTCATAATATAATGTCAGTCACTGGATCAAAAGACAGGTAATGTTTTCATTTTATAGCACGAAATGTGTTGGGTTGTATTTAGACTGTGTCCAGGTTGAATTAGTTTCTATCTCCAGCTCCCTTATCTAACCTTAACCATAAACTAATTCTGACCTGAACTGTATAACCACATCTTAACCGCTGGAAAACCCAAGATTTCCTCTACTGTGATACATACTGGTGTCCACAGGTTAACAAGTGTTGGTGTGTTGAATGTTTCCTCAGCATGACCATGTGACATATCCACTGTTTGAACTACATTAAAAATAGTACGACTCTTTTGCTCTCTTAGAGAGTCGTGAAGACGCCAACCACGTTTTTAAAAATATGGCCGAAGAAAGAGACAAGTTGGAGAAGAAGATGACGATGTTTGGTGAGTGTAGAAATGAAACTGAATACTCTTTATTGCCCCCTGAGGGAAGTTTGCCCTGCAGGCAGGTAAGAAACACAAAAACACAGAAAACACAGAAATCACAGTCAGTCACATCCAGACACCACACAACAGCACTTGTGCCCTCTTGACCTTGGAGTGTATTTTTTTCTCAGTGATCAGCTGATTGATTCTTCCTGGGCTGCACAGCGGCTCAGTTGTTAGCACCGTCGCCTCACAGCTTAAAGATCCCCAGTTTGCGTCCCGGTTAGGACGCCCGGGATCTTTCTGTGTGGAGTTTGTATGTTCTCCCTGTGCAGCGTGGGTTCTGTCTGGGTTCTCCAGTACAGTCACTCCCACAGTCCAAAAACAGCCATCCATCCATCCATCCAGTATCTATACACTCCTTAATCTGGAGTCTATCCCAGCTGACTCAGGGTGAAGGCAGGGGACACCCTGGACAGGTCACCAGTCTATCACAGGGCTACACTTAGAGACAGACAACCAAGCACACTCACATTCACACCTACAGACAATTTAGAATCACCAGTTAATCACCTTAACCGGCAATCCACCTTGCAGCCCCTCCTTGAATTATAATCTGCCAAAAGATTATTAGGGAATTTCAGCAAACAGATGTCAAAAAATAACTGCCTACACAAGCTTTAATTGGTTTCAGTATCATTCAGATGCCACAGAGCCACATTTAATTATATACATATATATATACATATATTTTTACAGAGCTGCAAGGTGATGCAGTGGTTAGCACTGTTGCATCACAGCTAGAAGGCCGGCAGTTCACGTCCCGGTGAGGACACCTGAGATCTTTCTGTGTGGAGTTTGCATGTTCTCCCCGTGCAGCGTGGGTTCTCTCTGGGTTCTCCAGCCTCCTCCTACAAGTCCAAAAACATGTTAAGGGTTAATAATGGATGGATGGATGGATGGATGGATATTTTTTTTACAATTACTGTCATTATATGAGGCAATGTTTTCACTGTCAGGTATATTCATCAAATAAAGTGCAACTCATTTCTTACTCATACAACTGGTAGATGTGTAAACGGTAAAATTTAAAGGCCACCGTCCATCTTTTATTGAAACTTGTGTGGATATTCGCAGATACCTTCACAAACAAATGTTGATATCAGACACTTAATATGCATATTTTTTAATTCTCTTTGTGACTAATTCAACACTACAAGCCCATAAAAAAGGAGCACGTACGTGTCAGTAAAAGAGGAAGAGACAGCGAGAAAGGGAAATCAATATGTGACGAAAATAGGATTTTGGGGAAATCTTTGTCTTCGTGTAAAGACACACATGCGACAAAATGTACGGTCTACTTATAAATGTCAGAGATAAGTAGACAACCACATCCTGTACACTGATGTTTCTACTGTTTTTATTCGAAAATAGCATCACACTTACCCGGTTCACGTTTACTGCAGTGATGAGCATGTGCACAACAGAGCAACCTTTGCTAGTATTTAAATTTTAGTTTAGCATTCATAAGCAGTATATAATCCTTCAGTAAATGGTTTATAACATACTTTTTATGTAGTTGTAAGCAGATATATGTACGGATAAATGAAGGGTGGTGTGTAAACAGATAATTAATACCAATGTACACAGTTGTGCTAATGTAAAATGACATGAGAAGCTATAATCGTTGGCAAATACTGTATGTTAATAAATGATTGACACGACCACATTACATTATCTCTTAACAGGTGAATATTCCCAACAAGGATGGGTGTATTTCAACAACAGTTTCTACTACATTTCTTTGCTGGAAAACTCATGGGAGGACAGCCGAAGTGACTGTCTGCAGCGCGGCGCAGATCTGGTGATTATCAACAGCAAAGAGGAACAGGTGTGTCTTTGTGCATATGTATGTACGGGAGGGAAAGAGATAAACACTGAAAAAATAAATAACGGCAATGCTTCTGATGTTTCTGTGAATAAGGAATTCGCAAGACATTTCCGAAAGCCGATGTGGATCGGCCTGACTGACCAGGAGACGGAGGGGAAGTGGAAATGGGTGGATGGGACTCCACTGACCATGAGGTTAACACATGATTTGATCATTGCTTTTTCATAAATCAGTGCGATAAATTACATTTTGAAGTGATGAAAATGTTTAACTTTGCCTTGTTGTGTTTATCTGTTTTCTTTGTTTTGGGGTTTCAGCTACTGGGGCACCGAGGAGCCCAACAGTCACAAAGGCAGCAATGAGGACTGTGGAGAAATAAAGTTTTTTGATGAAGAAAACAACTGGAACGATAAACCGTGTGAAACTAAAAATGTCTGGATGTGTGAAAAGACCATGTCCTTCTAAGCATCCAAATCAACCGTTTATGAAACAAACATCTACCACGTGCAGCTAAAGACAGCAGTGAAACATTGTTTATGGCCAAGCTGCAGGTAAAGTGGCTCACTGACATACTTATGCACAGTTATATTGCAATTCATTAACTATCCTCTGCTTGCTAATAATCACAAAAAAAAATTTAATATGTAAATATCCCCTCAAGTTTATTAATGAAAAAAAAGTCATTTATATACTTTTAAACTCTTGTTTTGTTTGTTTGGATAAATTTGAGTCGTTTTCAGTGTTAAAGGAATTTCCCTTCAGTGTTTTTTTTTTTTTTAAAGACCAGTACTGTTTAAAAATGTTGATGTTGTCTGTACTTATCTCTGCTCATATTGCAAGACCATGTATACCACGGCAGTTTTGTGCTTCCAATTATTCCAGATTTTTCATTTTCGACGAATGAATCACTGTAATATGTGTGTTTGTCACAAATAAACAATCGTGCATTTTGGTTCTTTCTTAAATTTATTATAGATCTTCTGGATTTATGACAAAATCATGCTGAGAAATATACATACAGCAACTTGACTTATCAGGTTTGGGTGATGTAGAGAGCTGTGTTAATCAAACTTTCTTCGTGGCATGGCCTCTGAACTTCTTGTGAGTGATTTGGATTGACTGCAGCTGCCGACGCCTCTGAGCCAGTTTCAATCAGGCTTTTTTTAAAAACACTCATTAGACTCAGCCACAACTGCTATAATGGGAAAGTCTGAGGAGGTCGGCACAGATGTGAAAAAACTAATTATTAACTTGAACAAGTCTTGAAAGTCACTTCAAGCAACTACAGATCCCAAAGTCCTCTGTGCAAGCAATTGTTTGTAAGTATATGGTGCAGCTGTGTCACTGCCATGATCAGGAAGAAAACACAATTTATCACCTGCTGCTGAGAGACAATTGGTCAGGATGGTCAAGAGTCAAGCAAGAATTGGCAAAAACCAGGTCTGCAATGAATCTGAAGCTGCTGGTACATAGGTGTCAGAATCCACAGTCAAGTGTGTCGTAAATCATCATGAGCTGAGAGGATGCTGTGCAGGAAGGAAACTCTTCCTGTTAAAGTAACACCTCAAAGCTCGACTGACGTTTGCTGCTGATCACACACACACACACACACACAAAAAGGCCTTCTGGAGAAAGGTTCTGAGGTCAGATAGAACAAAAATTGAGATATTTGGCCAAAACGACCAGAAATCTCTTTGGAAGAGAAAAGGTGAGAACTTTAACCTTTAACCCCAACAGCACCTAACCTCCCATCAAGCATGGTGGTGGCAGCATTATGCTGGGAGGCTGTTTTGGTGACAGTGGAGCTGGTGCTTTACACAAAATAAATGAAATCATGAAGAAGGTTCACAAATTACCTTTTAAAATAATAATGACTAATGATATGACAATATCACTATGTTAAAGTAATATTACTGGGTAAAATGGTGGTCTTTCTATAAATCCTCCAACCATCAATGGGAGCAAATGAAGAAAGGTGAAAATTAGGGATCACTTTACTGATTCAAATTGATTTGTTAAGAATAGTTTTAAAAAAAAACAAAAAAAAACTATTATGTTTACAGTTCAGTGAACTTAGCACTGCTTCCGATTGTCTCAGATCAAGTTTGTTTCAGGGTCAAACTGTTGCATTCAGCTCAGACCTAATCTATGTGTATTTATTATTTTACTGTTTTTATTTAGTTATTTACTATTTATTGAATAATATATAGTTAGTAATATAGAAATAATAGTTGTAGCTGCCTCAGTCAAGCCACTCTGCTGTGTGAACATTTTTTTATTCAGTATTTGCAGCAGCCTTCCCTTAATGGTCATTCTTGCTTTCTTCTTTTGTTTGTTTGTTTTTTACAGTCAGTATGTAAAATTATGTTCTCTGCTAAACTGCTAAAATGTTCATTTTTTTCCAGTGTACAGATAATCCTCTTTTTTGGGGGGTTTTGTAAAGACATTTTTCAACACATTTGCATGCATTTTACTTACAAGAGAACTTATTTGTCAGCCTTTACATTAAAGTACAGTATGTCATATGGGTGTTGCCTATCACTGCTGCATTAGGCTGTGGAGTCATGGTTTTGGTGTTTACTGTATTTCACATAACAGTTTCTGTTGCTGTGATGATGCTGCAATGATAAGGCTTCTGAGACACGAATTCAAAGATGATATCTTCAGTTAGGCAGCATAAGGGGCTGGTATGACCTCTCAATCTTCATCTCTGGTTTTTGGGAAATAGATATTTATTCTTGAGAAGAAAAAAAAAACTTCACACCTTCTGTACTTATCATTGCTGAGTGAAATGTGTTCAACAGCTTTTTTTTTTTTTTATCTCATAGTGAATGAGTGGGAATCAAAGACATAAAACGTGAGAAACGAAAAGTTTTGCTCATGATCTTGTGTAGTCTTGGTGGTTTCCAGCTCCCATAATATCAGCTAAATTCTTTACGGCAGGACATGACAGATATAGTTTTTTTCATGCACTGGTTAAGTTAGAGATTTTGGGATGTTTAATCTGTTGTTAATGTTTGTTGTTTATAGTTGTTATAACAACTAGTGTACTGTTAGAACACATCGCTGGATTTCACGCCTAATTGACCAGTGTGATTGTGCAGGTTCCGGCCAATTCCACCCCGTTGGAGTGCACCCCCGGAGTCGAAGTGGCCGGAACGCACAGGCAGTATTTGGCTGCTGATGCCGGTTTAGTTAGCGGTCACACTTCTGTTCCATTATCGGTAGCAGTGGGGGAATGGCAGATACAAAAGTTACCATCTGGGTGCCCCTATAGCTCACCTGGTTGAGCGGGCAACCCATAAACAGGGGCTATAGTTCCCCGACGCGGCGGTCGTGAGTTCGAGTTCTGCTCATAACAGTTTGCTGCAGGTCTCTCCCCATTCTTCTCCCCCCTTTAATGTCTCACTCTCTCACTGTACTAACTAATAAAGGCAAAAACGCCAGACAAAATAATCTTAACAAACAAACAAAAAAAAAAAGTTACCATCTGCATTTACTATTGCAAACACTGAGCACGCTCGCTGTGTGTGACATCGTTGTGTCCTCTTCTGCGCATGTGGGACACTTTTGGGTCGTATGAAATTCACACAGCAGGTCACATACAAGTCGCATTTAATTGGAAATGTGAACGAACTCCCAAAAAATCGCATTTCACAAAAAAATCTGAATTGAGCATTAAGTCCTGCAGTCTGAACGTAGCCAATCTGTCGGATTGTTAAGTCAGATCATACGCCGTTATCTTTATTTGTGACATAAAATATCATGTCGGAGTCAGAATCCAAGGCTGCCTGTATGTTAAGGCTGTTTTTAATGGGTTCTGTTCGTTTTTCCTAAAAACCTGTCGGATAGTAATGTTATGGGTCTGATTATCAAGTCACGACTGTACATTACGGTTCTGTTCTCAAATAAATCATTTTCATCTAACGCATGAGAAACTTGTACATTCAACATTCTCCATAAACAACTTAAGTCTATGTGATGAAATCATGTTCACAAAAGGAATGTAAATGAATCATGTTGCATCTATTTTTATTTTCTATTTATGCACATCGTAAGTGTGCAATATTGACGAGGGAAAATGATGGGGTAACTGTTTATTAACTTTCCAGCAATGCATTTCACAAAACTAGTTGTCAGCGTAGCATCAAGATACCACAGTCTGCTCAGCTGTGATATGTACTCTGCTACATGTGCTGCACACAGGGTTCAGAGTGTGAAGAATGGAGTCAGAGCGCATTCTGCTGGACAAACTGTAGGCTAATCTTATTTCACGACTTTCAGCCTCCTTGTCTCATCTGTCCTTCTGCCAATACCTCAGAAACCAGTCCTGCTTTTCCATCATAAAGGACATCTCAATTCAAAGAAATGCTAATAGGGGATAGAATAGAAAATCGAGTTTTTGTAAAGATTTGGGCAGAAAGCATAGTAGTAGCTCAAACTCACCAATAGGGGGCGCTGTGCACCAATCGAAAGGCACTTCCGGAAACAAAGACCGACCAGCCGTCCAATCAGGGAAGAGCTCAGTTTTAAATGAGAGCACATAGTTCCTTCTCTCTGTTCCCGAAAAACCACAACACAAGTCAAACTGGTCAGGCCAGGACCGGCACTCTGGGACTTTACGAGACTATCTTTCAGTTAGTCGGTAGTTTTTGGGCTCCAGCTGCCTTTTATCGACAGCTGTTTCATGGGAACCCAGGAGGGAGAGAGAGGTAAGGCAACCGAGACTCCTGTCCGGGGGAAAGCTAGCGACACGTAAAGCTAACGTCCAGCGGCTAACGTTAGCTGCCAGGTTAATGCTACTGTCCTGTTGTCACTGAACCCGACATCAGCTGTATATATATTACAGACAATTTAATGTAAAGACTCGGGTTTGCCGTTTCACTTTCTTTGAAAATGTCCCCGTTAGCAAACATTAGCAACGCTAGCTAGCTACTTTTGAGTTGACTCAACGGGTAAAGTTGCCGTAAACAACGTTAAATGTGGCAGAAAATAGTTTGGTCTTTGTTTTGTCATCCCAGATACATGACCACCGGTAGTATTTATTTTAATGTATGCAATGTAAACCGGTAGTTTTTGACGTCAAGCTGGTGAAGTTAGCAGTTGGTATGTATGAGTCAGGGAGAGATGACTCCCCGCTCTGAAACTGAAGTTTGCCGGGCAATGATGATTACATCAACATGGTCACCTATAGAAATGGAAATTAACCCGGATTGAGAATGAACAACTAGTCAATGTCACCAAAATGACAAATAAAGTCATCCTTCAGTCTTCCATATGAACCGATTATTCTGTGTTAGATATTTTATTTCATCTGTTTTTATCATTCTGTTGGCATATTTCACAGAAACTATATTCTGATGTGCTACTTTGCTGTGAACATGGTTTTCCTTTTTTCCCTGCAGATTGGGTTGATGTGGCAAATGATCTTCTCAGCAAGTGTCACATAAAGTTACGGCTGAGGATAATCACAGACTGTAATGCAGATGTTTTCATTGCTTTGTATGAGAACATCTTGGGGGAGAAAGTTCCAGGTAAGAAAAACTTATAGAGCTACCAAATAGGGACAATTAAAATTGTATTAAAAATGTAAAAATCAAAATAATAGTACTATTAATATTAATAATGTGTAATCAAAGTGCGGCCAGATGCAATATCCAAATTGCAGGAGCTGACTTTTGTTTTGTTTATTTTTAATAAAGGGGTAATGTGTCACAACATAGAGTTATAAATAAGCATTGTGGTGCTACATAAATGTCCAAGCCTATAATTTATATTCTCAAGATGTAAAGACGGATGCTTGTTTGTCTGCAGTAAAAAAAAATTGCATTATCATTTTGGAGGTTTTTTTAATTTGTGGAGAAGAAATGTCATTATTTCTATTCTCCTGTTTTGACTTATATTTCAGTTGCAATATCTGTCAAAATAATGAAAATATGGCTTTTTTGCATATTGTTTTTTTACTACCAGATGTCAACACCACTGATTGATGAGTCAATTAGTAGGTTAGCAAAAAATAAAATAAAAATGGTAAGCAACTTCTTTGATAACCTATACATTTTTTAGGTAAAGATTAAAATGCTAAATATTTCCTGATGATTCCAGGTTTGCAGTGGCGACAGTTTACTGCTTTTCTTTGTGTGAAGCTATAATATCATCAGTATATTGAGATTTTAAAGTGAAACAGTTAATTAATTTCAAATTTAATTTTAAATCACCTGGTATTTCTAGGCAAAGCAATGAATTGATTACCACAGCAAATAATGAGCACCAGGTGGTAAAAGTAGTCATAGTTTGTCGTCTTAACAAGGGCATTTAAATTCCAAACACAAGGCCACTAACTGAGGTTCTCGTCTCCTGAGTGTGCTTAGTATGTCAGGAATGTTTCCCAAGACCAAGCATGCCAGTATGAGCTCCTTCCTTTATTGCTAGGTACAGGAAAGTGTTGGTCCAAAGTGAACGTCCAAAGTGTTCAAGGATTGTGAATGCATGTTACTATGGCATTGTTGGGCATATGTGTGTGTGTGTTTCACTGTTACTCTGGTGTCATGGCTCAGCTTTTTCCCATTTGTCTTGGCTTTTATTTGTGTGTTTAGATTATATCGCAGCACCATGCAGTCAAGAGGATGAAGTCCATAATGTTCAGTCTGTGATTGATTCACTGTCTTTGGATTACCTTCAGATCAGCCTCTCACACATTACAGGTATAAGAAAAGAAATCATTTGTAGCATCTTGTAACAAGTCTAAATATCTATGTATTATGTTAAATGTGCATGTATAAAGGAAGACACTTCGTTCAACTTGAAATAAGTAAAAATTTCACTTTATTTTGCACTGCATAGGCAATGAATATTTATTTCCTGAGAGAATATGCAGAAAAACAGGGACTATAGATGTAATGTCTAATGTTCAGGATGTCCACGTGTTTGCAGGAGAAAATGTTGTCAGAGGGGACGAAGAGTCTATCAAGAACCTCCTGGAAATCTTTGACGGCCTCCTGGAATATCTCAACGAGGAGATAAATGAGGAATCACAGAATGGAGGTAGGCAAATTAATTTGTCACCTTTTCCTCATCATTAGATAATGTGCACTTTTCTATTTCAACAAAAACATTGTGAAGACATGTCTCTGAGCTCTGTTACACACAGAAAAGTTGAATGTCATAACTGAATACAATGTCATTTTTCTGTCATCTGTTTCAACACTTTCAAGCTGATAAGTTACTAAAATTATTAGTTCCTCAAAGAGTTTGTAGCATGCTTTGTATTATAATGTGAATGCAGGTTTGTTTGTTTTTTTGTGACCTTTCACTTCAGTGTCAGACTACAGTTCTGCATTTATTCATGTGGTTAGTTAAGTTGTTTTATCATCAAGTTTCCTTTTGTGCAAAAAACGAATAACTACAGTTTAATCTGTCTTATTTGTTAGACCTTTCGATTGTGGCTCTTTGTGCTTTACACCTTTTTATTATTTTCCAACAGTGTATCTTTGACATTTTCTCATCCAGTTTGTTGACTGTATTGAGTCATGTGCATTTGTTCCTCTTTTGAATTCCACGGAGGCCTTTACATGTTGTAATTACGACTTTTGCTCTGACTTGAGTTTTTTTCTTTCGTTTTTTTGTCTCTCACTCTGGGTCGTTTGTGCAATTCTTGTTTTCAGAGGAACTGAATGACAGTCTCAATGAAGATGAAAACAAAGAGCCAGCAAGCTGTGACGCTACAGAGCAGGAGGAGGCAAAGCTGGAGGGAGCGTCCTTATCATCCAGTGTCGAGTAAGAGCTGCTTCTCGATGGACTTCATCCACTTTACATATTTAAAAAAATAATAATAATAAGATGACTTTGTGAAGCACAGCATATTTTATTTAGGATTGAGTATGACAGGTTTTATGTCTTACTAATGTTGATACCTTGGGTGACAACCTTTTATTTAGTGATTTTGACCAGACCCTTTAGAGATCAGCAGGTTCAACAGTGTGGACATGAACATTTCTGTAGGTTACACTACACAATGAATGCCAACTACAAAAGGCCTTCCATTTATCCATTACCATTTATCCCAAACATACCACTGTTCCTGCTCCTAAAAAGATAAAATCCACAATTTCCTGTTCAAATCAAATATTCTTTTGAGTACAGACATGCCAGACAGCAGATGTGTTAGGGAGCAAAAATCCATGTATGAACTTTGACAGCAGGTCTGTCAGGAAAAATCCCTTTTTTTGCTGAGTCAGTTCCAGTGGCTGAAGTCAGTCAGCCTGGCTTATTATTTCCATTTATGATACTGAATGTGGCGTGAGTTATATGAATGTCAACTAAAGGAGCTGTAAAAACTTGGTATAATATGACCAACTGTCTACATTTTTAAACTTGCAGAACACCTGTATTTCATGTATACGAACTACAGACTCTGAGAAAATGAATTATTTTTGTGGCATTTAAAAAAAAAAATATTAATGTGGAGATTTTGTATTCATTAGTTAAATGATCATAGAGATGAACATGAGTGGATGGCATTTAGTAAATGTGTTGGTTAGACTCACATTAGTGTATTAACCTAATTAACACCTGATATACTAACTTAACTGATACCAACTTTTGTGTTTGTGTTGAGCTTTCCCGTAAACCAAAACTGTCTGCAGTCAGGTGTGTTACGCTTGACTCTAACCTGACACCATTCATCTGTAGTGCAGATCCGACAGTACATCCTGTTGACACAACAAGCAGCTGGCAGCAGTGTAAATAGAAAACGGTCATCATAGAGAGTAGCCGTTGTTTAAATATTACTCGTCTGAGAGCATGTAGCGGTGCTGCTGGTGTATTTATTCACACGCTTCCGAAATGATAACATGAGTTATTAAAATATGTAAATAACTCTTTCTTGTGTTAGTAGTGGAAATGCAAATAGCAGAGGAACCACCGATATAGCCTGTGTTTGAGTCATGCTCTGTACCTGATAAGTAATTTGTGTGCAGGCAGCAAAGCTTTTGATAAGAACACTGCCTTGACCCAGTCTTAGCTGTGGCTTCGATCTCGAAAACTCACAAAATTTTACCATCCGAAGCAAATCGTTTCTGTATTTTTGGTGCCACAGTTGAATTCAGTAGAACTTTATCCGTGTAAGGACAAATGTATGCAGCAGCTTGTCACTCAGATCAACACGGAAAGAGAGAGAGATCCAGTTAATGCAGTTTATCAAAGTAAACGTCCAGTAATTTGACACAGTTCAGTCTGAATCTGTGGTAGATCACATTAATGTCTTATCATTCAGATCTGCTGTCCAGTCCAGTAAACAGTCCCTCCATTCCTGGAATGCCGAAGAGTTGGGATCAGCCAGCGAGCTCATTGGTCTGGGAGTCTCTGCACGCACATTTGTAGACAAACAAGAAGGTGAGACATGCAAATAAAGGTCACCTGACTTCTGCTAGTGACAGTGTTTTGGCAAAATGCCATGTTCTTTTTATGCATACAACATTAGCCATAAGATTTTTCTTGGATTTTCTATTTGTTTTGTGGTCACTGTCAGACTGACATGTATCAGGAATTCAAGGCCTCTTTTTGTTTCAAGTTATTTTTAAGACCCAAGAAGACATACGTTGCTTTATGGATTGATTAAAGTTGTTGTTCTAGTTGTTTTAGCATACTAGTTGTCTAACCTGATGCGTGGCTTTACTGCAACCCACAATTTAAGCATCAACAGTAACTGTAGCAGACAAGGCAACAGTCTGTGACCTCATGTTGCCTTTAATTTGTATTATGATGAATTTATTATTACAATATCTCTTGACATAAATCTGATTCATTTATTCGTATGCAAGGACCAACTGTCCTTCCTCAAACCTCGGATGCAGTCACCACCTCTGGTCCTGTAGACTCCAAAGAAGCTCCGCAGACTGAACCGATGCACTCTGCCATCGCTCTGCAGCCACCCAACCAGAGTGACACTCCCCACAGTCCTGACATCAGCCCACACTCACCCAGTCCACCTCCCACTGCTGCTGGCCCCAGCTTGGTTCACGCTGGGGAGGAAGCAACTGCTGTCACTACAGAGGTAGCCTTCTAGTACAGTATCACAAGGTTCTATTGTGTTGCAGTCAGTTCTGGTCAAGTAAAACAAGTTTTACAAGCAATGGGATGTGTAATATACTGGATTTCTTCTCTCCTGTTTTACACATAGACTCACACTTGCACTTCCGATTTTTTGTAATTCCAGTAGAGTACAGGAAGGATCGGCACATGCTGATCCTTCAAAACAAGTAGTTACTTCTGTTATAAACTCCTGCTTTCACTCTTCAGATTTTCTTACTTCTGTTTCATAAAGGTTTGCCAACATTCACTTACATAACCTCTCAATGTACATTTAAGTGATAGTTGTCTTGGATGTGTTTGATAGTCAACTAGCAGTACAAACCTGTAGGGTATGATCAAAACGCTGCACCCAAGGAAGGGTAATACTTTACTCAGAGTGATGTGTAATTATTTCAATGTTTTTTTTTAGCCACATTTTTTCTAGTCTAGTGTTTACTTCCTAAGCAAATCTCTGGAATCTGTGTTTTTACACAATCACACTTTGTGATATGCTAGCAGGCCCTGACATGCACATGACCTGGTGTTGTTGCACAGCTTAACCTGTGGCCTGCCTCAACAAAACAGTTATTTGTCTGCACTTTGACCCGTCACTAGAGCTGTTATGTTATGTTGTGTAGTTTATGTTGTGAGGCTTGTATCTGGTTTATAATGATTTTAAAAAGTTGACTTTCTTGAGCTTCACATTATGCTCGGTACTAAATATTCTCCCTGTGTGGTGAATGTTAATGTCCTGTTCTTGGCTTCACATTGCCTTCTTTCTTTGTTCCTGCTCATTTTCTCATCTTTTTCACAGACCTCTAAGGTAGCTGAGACCATTGTTACCAATGGACTGCAGTCTCCTGCCCTTAGCCAGTCACCTGGTGAGTCAAGCACATTTACCTAAAGTGTCAGTAAGATCAAAATGTCAAGTGGTAAATGGCTTTAACTGTAGATGGCATGTCATTGGATTAAGAAAGCCTCTTAGACCTTGATGAAAATGGTAGTCATGATTAAATGTGCAGTGGTTCTCTGAATGCAGTGAAAATCTCCCAGAAGTGTCACTTAGTTCTTGACGTCATCCTTCGTTTAATTCCCCAGCTGCAAGCGAGAAGTCTTTGTCCAGCCAGCAAAGAGCGAGGACAGAAGTGGAGGGAGAGACTCTGGAGGTAAGAGAGCAGCAAGCCTTTACTTGGACCAATGTTAAAGTCAGTTCTCATCCATCTATCTATCCATCTATCCATCTATCCATCTATCTATCCATCTATCCATCTATCCATCTATCCATCTATCCATCTATCCATCTATCCATCTATCCATCCATCCATCCATCCATCCATCCATCCATCCATCCATCCATCCATCGCTTAATCCAAACGGTGAACATATACGTTTGTATAAATTAACACTAAGTTTTTCTTCCTAATCTCAGCCAACTAATGGAGGCCCCAGGAGGGTTTTATTCCGCACCCAACCAGATGTGCTCTTCCTCACCCTGCAAGAGGCAATGACACCCACCACTCCTTCTCCACCAGACACTGAAGAGGAAGAGCAAGATGAGGAAGATCTGCGGTTTGCACGAAGATTACAGGACAGACGTATAGGTCACAGAGATAGGACAGGCCTCAGGTAAGACTTTAAAGTAAAAGAAAAAGGATAGAGTCCCAGGATTTTTTATTTTATGTGGAAACAATGCAGTAGTTATTATTTATTGGTTGCCCCACCATCTCTACTGTGTGCTGTCTTTGTTATTGCAGAAACAAGACAGCACAAGAGGATTTTGAAGAGCCTCTGTCTTATCGCAGACAGAGGAACAAGCAAGCAGAAGAGGAGTTGCAACACATATCTGAGAATCTTTCTCATCGACTAGAGGAACTTGACCAGGTATGTTTTTTGTTTGTTTGTTTTTAGTGTATCACAGAGGTTAGTGAGGCCACAACACATAAGTATTGTACATTCAAGCAAAAGTAATTGATTTAATCTTTACTGAATGCGTCACTGTTCTGTCGGTTGTGGGTTAAAGCGCTTGTTCTGTCAGCTCACTTCATTACAGTTTGCCTCATTTCAGCAGAACCATCCACACAGTGTCAATGCTTGTTTTTCTAGGAGTTATGTAATCTTTAGTCTTTGTTATTTGTGTGCTGACACCATCTTTGTATTTGTGTAATGGCCCTTTAACGTGTGCAACAGCGTGTTCTTTGTCATTTCTGTAGATGCTTAAACGGGTTCTGGGTGAAAGTGGAGAGTCCAGTGAGGTGAGGGAAGAGGACAAGCAGTCCCACCACAGCGACAGCATCATGGAGTGTCGTCGGACTCCCAGACAACACACGGGTACGCGGACGTTTGACTGAAAATGCGGCAAATGCGTTTAGTAAATAGTACAAACTGCACTCAGCGATTTGTAGTTGATTAGCTAAACATTAAAAAAAAAAAAAAAAACACTAGTATGTTTTTTTTCATGAAATGTTCCTAATAATCATCAGAAGTGCTCATTATCTTAACCTCCATGCAGATGAAGAAACATAATGACATATAACTTTTAATAGTTTCAGGAACATCTGATCCGGAATCCACCCACCGGACGCGCTCCCTGTCCCCCTCCCCTCCTCGAGTCCGTCCCTCCCTGCAGGGACAGTTAGAGGAGGCCATGGCAGAAGCTTTGAGTCTGGATGATGGGAGACAAACCAACGTCGCAGCGTTTGATCATCCGAGGCGAGGAGAGCTACACCACAGAGCATCTCAGAGAAAACACAACAAGGTATTAACCTCATTACTGAGGTTTCCTTTAAAATAATCTGTGCTGTGTATTACATAAACAAGTGTTCTGTTAGGGCTATCTATATACTGCAGTAGTCAAACACTGATTTCTTCACAACTGGTTGTAATGTGCAGGCTGCTCAGTAGATTTAATGCTGGGGTAAGCAGAAATCTGGAAAAGGGGAAAAGAAACGCAGCCCTTGTTTTGCAGCTCTTCCTGTCCCCTCCCACTAGAAAAACACAACCCTATGCACACGCTTCAAACGTACAAAAATAGTCCAAAAAAAGAGAAAATATTTACTTGTGGCCTCACATGGGGTTCAAATCCCACTCCTCTAAGTGAAACTCTGTCTGTCCTTTTGCATTGCTATATCTTACTCTCACTGTAGCCTTTGTTGTGTGTGTGCTGACTGAAAGGACCTGCCACAGATTAGATTTTTAACAGTTGTTTTATTTTTTAGAGGAAAAGTCCCATTAACAAGTTATGTACTTGTTAGATTTCTTCGGTAATCTATCTTCTTATATCAGCCAATTAATTAAAACCAAAGCTAGAAAAACAATATTCATATTCAAATAAGTTGCTGCTGGCTCTATTGATCACGTCCTTGAAATTAAAAATGAAGTGCATCTCTTTTTCTTTTAGCATCTGGTGAACAAAGCCTATGAGGAGGAGTTGAAAAGATATGAAGACAAGGAACGAACAGAGCTGGACAAGGCACGTCTCAAAGCACAGGAAGCTGTAAGTCATTAGCATGATGTCTAGTATAGTTTGAGTACAATAAGAACCCCTTCCTGTCATGAAAAAAAGCAGTGTGACCCATTAACGCTTGTGTTCAGAATCCACTGGGAAAGGAAAAACAACTTGCACATATCTTGGGTCTGTGGTCTGTAACGCTTTTATCGCTTTCAACAGAACATTTTTAAAGACCACCAAGTTAAGGGCTTAATTTAATGAATTAGACAGAGGCTAAAGACCCAAAGTCATTTCTCCTGTTAATTTAATTATGGTGAACAGCCTGAAAAGCTGTGGGATTTGCATTGTGTTTTCCAGCTGTAGGAAGATTTTGGGAAAACATGAAACCTGGAAAAGTTTTCGAAAAAGTAATGGAAGTTATTTCAGTTGAAATATTTCTTTTGTGTTTGTAGGCTCTGTTTATCATGGTAACTTGGTTATCTTTACTTACTCGTTACTTTTAAATTGTATGAGAAAGATCCCACTGCTACTCACATTTTATTGTAACAAAGATAACATACAGGCAGAAACTGTCTTATTATCAGATTACTTAACAGTGAGATGTGAATCTTACAACAAGCAGTCAGTACCTTGATACCAAGAAACTGAGATTTATAATGATCTGCCTGTTGCACTAAAAGCCTTAGAAAGCACATTTATTCAGATAAAATGAAACATTTTAATGCATTTACACAAAAATGCAATAAGTTGTATGACATTAAAGACTTTGGGAAGTGTTAAAAAAAAGTGCTTTCAAATAATAGGTTGAGGAAAACATTTTCTCAACATACAACTTTTACTATAAAAATATGAATTGCACCTGATTTGTTTGTGGAAACTGAAGTAAAACTCTGCACCAAGTTCAACCCAAATGGTCACTTGATATTAATATTACTCTTAAAAATGAAGCTCTCTGTTTGCTTACAAGTGTAGAGGCATTTGTTCTGGTTTACTAAACCGTGATTCTGTGAATGTGTGTGTAGGAGCGGGAGTACCGAGAGGCCATACTGGGGGATGTTTCTCAAACGCCCAGAGCGTCTCCGGCTAAAACAAAGGCTCAGCATAGGTCACAACGAAACAGACAGACCAAATCAGCACAGAGACGACTGGCTCCCAGGAAAGCTCCACCAAGTAAGTCAAACTTGTATATTTACCCTTAAGACCTTTCACAGCAGTTTGCAGAAAACATGTCTCATATAAATTTATACTTGGGTGACGTGCAGGCCTGTGTGTGGGGCTGCAGGATCTTGCTCGAAGTTTATATAATTTCTCAAATACTTAAACTGCAATTAGTATTAATCCTCTAAACCCTGAGCAGTTTCTGGGTGTTTTTTTTTTCACTCCAGTCATATTTTTACTCACTCTGGGCTCATTTGTCACTGCAATATAAATTCCTGCAACTTTATGCAAAAACAGCACAAACATGACTGGAAGTACAGAGAGCTTGAAAATGTCTCCTGTACACTTTGCCACCATTACAATGCCAAAAATCATAAAAGAAGAAAAAACTAAATTAGTTATTAGAACAGAGGGCTGCAAGGTGGCTTGGTGGTTAGCACTGTTGCCTTGCAGCCAGAAGGTCGCCGGTTTGCGTCCTAGTGAGGACATCCCGTGCAGCGTGGGTTCTCTCCAGGTTCTCCGGCTTCCTCCCACACAGTCCAAAAACATGTTGAGGTTAATTGGTGATTCTAAATTGTCCGTAAGTGTGAATGTGAGTGTGCTTGGTTGTCTGTCTCTAAGTGTGGCCCTGTGATAGACTGGTGACCTGTCCAGGGTGTCCCCTGCCTTCACCCTAAGTCAGCTGGGATAGACTCCCTTAACGAGGAGGATTAAGTGGTATATAGATAGTGGATGGATGGATGTTAGAACATTTTTCCCCATTTTACCAACATGGGACAAATGGTCATTCAACAGAGATCTTTACTACTTATGTTATTATTGTGTTTTGTTTGTTTTCCATACCCATATTTGCTCTGTTTGAACACAGCCTGCAGTTCAGCCCAGGTCACCCAAAAGTCTGTTGGAAGCAGTGGAGTCATACTTATCTTAAAAGTTGCATCAAGGCGTGCAGATTTTTTATTTATTTATTTTTTTTATAGAATACGTTTGCAGTAAACAGTTTATTTTTGTCAAAAAAAAGTACATGTAGAACAAATGTCCCGATTTTAAGCTTAGATGTTTTCTGACTGAGCGGTACTTGACACATGGGCGGATCAAGGACTGTCCTGTTTCTGTCTTCACATTTTCAGGCTCTAATAAGTAATATAATTTTGGCATTTTCATTTTCTTAACGATAACATGCCTTTCAAACCTGCCAGCAGGTTTTGGAATTCAGAGGTTTCAAAATATTTCCTCACCATAATGCCAGGTTGTCATGTTTGAAAGCAGCACTTCTCACTTCTAGAGAGCAAAACTATGCTTCCTGCTCCTGTGTTCTCTATTACAAATTTAAACATTATTGCTTGGGGGTGAAACCACACCCATGCACCACATTTGAGGGATTGTTTTTTGTCATTAGGCATCTCCAGTGACAAAATGACGATTGACCATAAGGCACATCTGAAACTGGGTTTATGTCCAGGTTCAGATTCATGTAAGTCAGTCCAACCCAAGAAGACAAGAGTCGAGTCTGTTCTCCAGGTCTCTACTGTGTCGTGGGACTTGAGGATTCAGCAACGTTCTTATTAAGCTGTGATGTCGGAGCCTTGGCATTTACAGACACCTTGTCCTTTGGAGGTTTTCTCTTGTGCGGTGTTGATGCCTTATGAATGTTAATATTTTTAGCTTCAGGCTGGCTGGCCCACTTTCGCTGATAATCACAGAAGTAACATTTCTGGTAGGCTATGAGGTAAGAACCGCGAGTGTGTTTGGTACAGCGGCACGTTCTGCTGCACTTTGGGCAGTTCTTCATCAGCTGCAGGATGGCCTCCTCGTCAACGATGTGCTGGGGGGTTGGTCTGAAATGCATCAGAAGAGAACACAGAGAGGTTGTGACCCAGTGGTATGAACAAGATGGAAGCATACTCACTGTGGCAGAATTACTTTTTACAGGTGAAGCACTGGCAAAGGGTGTTTAACGTATCTAACTGTAACTGAATAGGGTACAAACAAAGCTTTGAAAGAATACACTGTGTGATGGTGGCATATTGTGGAACAGAATCACAGTTTGACTTACTTCTCTGTGGTGGAGGTGCACATCTCTGACAGATTCAACTGAGAGCCTGAAAACATAACATGAAGGTGTGGTTAGTCAGAGGCCTCTTTCTGTCAGAAGTTGGAATACTTAAAACATTTAGAGAGATTTAAGTGATTTAGGGGTAGTTTTTATTTACATCAGGGAGTGACAGCTGCCAAATTGTCTTAACCAGGCTGGAGAGCAACAGAAAAATACCAGCAAAAAAATAGTTCTTCAAAACCAAAGACCTCAATCATCCCTTTTTGTTACTGCTATTAAGTTCACAACTCACAACGACAGGGTTGTTTGGCTTCTGTACTGTGAGATGGGTGTGTAACAGATGTAAAACAGCTTTTTCTTTGATTTGCCACCGTAGATATTCATAAACACAATGACATGAAAGGTCTGCACTCAAACCACTGAGGGCACTTTGAAGCAGTGACTCATGAATGCTTCTGCTCAGTGATCTCTTATGATAATCGTGCACATGAAGGCTTTAGTCTGAAACATTGTGCACATCATTATGTTCTACACAAAACATGGCAGTGCATGCAGATGGTCAGAGTTCACCAATAAATAGCTATTCCTTTAATCAGCTGTTTGCATAGACATAAAACTCTTCCACATGTCTGTAGACCTGGCGACCTGTCCAGGGTGTCCTCAGCCTTCGCCCTAAGTCAGCTGGGATAGGCTCCAGCCCCCCCGCGACTCTAGTGAGGATTAAGCGGTGTATAGAAAATGGATGGATGGATGTCTGTAGACCTGTCAGCAGCACAAACTGTGTCTATGTGCAGCCCTCGTAGTCGTACTAATTAATCATGCATGTACTTGCACAAATAATCCACAATAAATAGTGGATTTCATTCACTGACTCACCTGTGAACTGGTCTGGTGGTATGTTCATTACTGCCCAGTTGTCTTGCAACTGTAAAACACCACAGAACAGACACACACCTCACTGCAGTGACTTGAATATAAATGTAGAGGCAGCTTAACCCTGACAGGACAAAGGTTTTCTAAAGCACAGCTTAGAGATTAGCTTAGCAGATTTCCCTGCTTTTTGTGTCGAGACCAGATCTAAAATGATTATATTTAAACAGTTCAACTCTGGACTAGATTGTGTCAGAGGGTCAACATTCTTTAAAGCGTAGTGTCTGATTTATGAAACCTTTATTTTGTAAGTGAATGTTTAAAAAAAAAAAGGAGAAATTTCACAGATTTTGAAAAAAAAAAATAAAATCCTGCATCTGGACCATATTGACCAGGTCCAGATGTAAAATCACTAAATATAAACAGATAAAAATCTAAACTAGATCATCACAGACAGGCTAAAGCAGCTAAACACTCTTTAAAGTAGAGTTTCTGATTTGTAAAAATGCAAAATGCTTTTTCCCACATGTGCACCAGGTCCAGATTGAAAACTACTAAGAGGTCAAAGCTGAACTACATTGTCTCAAATGGGCTTCATGTTCTTTAAAGCAGTTTCTGACTTTTTAAATCCTTTATTTTTATTTGTGAAAGTGCAAAAACAGATTTTATTAGCCTCCCTGCAGTAATCCAGTTTAGATTTTACCAGTCTGTATACATTGGATTTAGATCTGGATCTGGTCTAATGTGGTCCAGATACAAGTCAGAGGCTAACTTCAGCTTCTTTCTCTGTACTAGTTTGCATAGTTTTTGTTCTACTTCTCTTTAAACAGTCTACTTGGGAGCATTACATTAATAAGGAAGGTACCAGACAGTCATTGAACAAGCTACGGTACCTCTGCTGTCTCCCAGCTGCGGAGCTTTTCCACTTCAGTCAGGACTTTAGGACATTTCCCACACGGACACCTGTTCACATGGTTTTATATATAGAAACAGAAATAAAACGATTTAAAGCCTGAATCCAGCGTCACGTCTCACATGAAGCAGGTACAGACGGTCATACTCACCAAACAAAGTCGTCGAGCTGCGGAGGCTCGGACTCTCCGTCTTCACCGTCCGGGTCAGATTCGGGCTCGAACATGTACGGCTGGATCCGAAAACTTTCCATGTCCAGTTTATTTTCTCGATAAATAAAAGGTCGCAGTTTCACAGCTGGTTAAAGCCTCCACACCGGCGTCCTGCGCTCAAGTGGTCTTCCGCCAAGAAAAACAGAGCCGTCCGCGGGAGCGCGCACAGCCTGCGTGTGCGTGTGCAGCAGCTTTTATCCGGATAGAACAGTCGTAACATGCAAACACACAACTTCTGTCAAGTCTGTTGTGTTGTAGTGTTTTGGAGGGTCGACACCACAACAACAACACTGCACTGCCATTCAGTTAATCCCGACCGTATTGTGGTCCCCCGTGCAACCAGCGCAACAGACAGAAGGTTCCTACCTCCTCAGTTCTACAGTAATACACAACACAGGCCCGGTTCACCTGCTAACTTCATATTTGCTTGTTTCTTGTTGCCTAATAATCACAGTTGTAGCCAAAGAAGGGTTTTTAGTTTACACCATAATTATGCATGATATTTTCACTCATTATAGGCCATTTTGTTGTCACGTTTCTGGTGTTTATGTGTTTGTTATGTCTAATGTCGTTTAAATTTGGAAATTAAAGCACAAATAACACAACATACTCATGCATTTTATATAAAGTAAACCAAACTAAAATCTCGCTTTTGAAAATACCCCTCTGACTGCATTGTTTTACGATATCTGTACCTTGATTAGAACCAATCCAGTCCTATCTGCCACTTTACATATGTTTAAAACAACCAGTACTAGGGCGGCTGTGGCTCAGGTGGTGGAGCGGTTGTCCACTGATCTTAAGGTCGGTGGTTTGATCCTTAACTGCACCTTGCGTGGCAGCTCTGTCGCCATTGGTGTATGAATGTGTGTGTGAATGGGTGAATGAGAAAAACATTGTAAAGCCGCTGAGGTCGAAAAGCGCTATATAAGTGCAGTCCGTTTACCATTTACTTTCTGCTTTCTAATCTAACTGCTGCTTTATCACTGAAAGCTTGTTACTGCCTCAGAATGACTCTATTTCTCTCCTGAGGCTTATACTTTAAGGATTATAGCTCACCCAGTCCATTTATCAGATGAAATACATTTTAAAAGGGCAATACAACGTGGTTATGTGACACACATCTCTTGTATTAACAGTGATCTTCTTGTGTTTGTGCTAAAGTCAAATAAAACCACTTTGCTGCTGGAAGTGGTACAAAATGTTAAATTGCTTTGGGAAATCAATAGCAGATCCAGGAAGTTTAATTTTGCACTGCAGCATTTTACAGAACAGTTTTACTGTAATTTCCTCCGACTGTAATTAGTTTCCTGCATATAATTGGTTGTGTGAAGCTATTGAAACAAAGAGTTTAAATAATCAGTTGTGCTTACAGAGGAGCTAAGTGCACTGCTGTGTGTGTGTTTTTTTGGTCATTATCAGTATTAAATGTTCTGGTTTGTGTCTCTTTTTTCTCTCCAGTGAAAATTAGAGAGAATGAGCTCCTGCCTTTAGTCCGGGAGGAGCTGCCTCACCTTCACATCTCCCCTCACGCCCTGGATCGGATGTGGGAGCAGCAAATGCATCAGGTGGACAGACTCCACGCCGTGTCATCCTCTCACAGTCAGCGTCGCAGCAAACTCTCCAGTCAGGTAAGACCACGACCAATTAAATTCATTTAGATGTATCTGACGTCTTTGTCTCCTGTTCAAACTGTCCTGTACTGGATCATTTCATTAATAAAGATATAAACCTCTGCTTGTCTTGCAGGTGGAGGAGGCCCAGAGGAAGCACGACCTGCTGGTGGAGCTCGTCCGTAAAGACCAGGACCACAGCAGGCGCCTGGTGAGCATCAACACGTGAACAGACACTCGAAAATGTCTTTTACATGTAAAAGCTAACTTATTAACAGTCGTTGCAGTACAGATCACATCCACATAAATTCCTCCTGCTCGTTCTGGACACATTAATAACTAAAAATACTCTCCAGAGGGACTTCAAGGATCGAATCCAGCAGCAGAAGTCGACACAGAACAGACTGAAGGAACAGAGGCAGCAGATAGCTCGTGCCAAGAAGTACCACAACGACTACCACGTTCAGCACCGAGCTCGCCTGATGAGGGCTCGCACCAAGGAGGAGAGGGTGAGTGCTGAAAGTCCACCCAGAACTTCAGTTATTTCTGCAGCTAATGTTGACTTACAATAGCATACAGTATTTGTATGTGTATTCTGAAGTATCACAGTAGAGAAAGTGAATGCAGCTGGCAAAATTCAAAAAAAGCGTCTCTCATTTTACAAAGAAGTTTTGCTTGAGGTGCAGTCATGTGGTTCCAAACATTGAAACCACACGACTGATCAGCTGTTTGACCTTCTGCTGCTGTCTTCACCTCCAAACAGGACGAACATTAATTATCACTTGCCCTGTCGAAAATAGTTCCTCAAAACCTTTATCATTTTTGTTTCATGTAGATGACCGAGCTTTTGATTCTCCTTTTTCTTTTGTGGTGTTTTTAGCCAGCAGCAAACAACCGGTTGTGTTTTCTGCTTCTTCTGCTTGCAGTTCATGGAAACAACAAGCCTTATTCCCATTTTCTTTCTTTTTTCAACAGTTATACAGAAACACAGGAAATAATTATCTTTTCATTAACTTAAAAAAACATTTACGAAATAGAAAATATTGAAATATGTAGTATTTTTTCCCCAGGTTTTGATGTGACATTACCAAACAAAGTCAAATTAAATTGAAATAAGACTAAGAAAAGCAGCCAATCATCCTGTTTTAGAAGCTAAAGGTAGCAAATGTTTGACATTTTCGATGGCTTTTGCAAACTATAGGAACTCAGCTGACATTATAACCCAAACTTGGTTACCTGACTTGGTTCTCTGTCTTATAAAGTCTACGCATGTAAATATTTGTGTGGGTGTTTAAGACGAATCAAGAGCTGTAGGAGAACAGGTCAAGAAAAAATGACAGACCACGTGATTGTCGGGCATCTTTTAAATGACGTGCTGACCCAGATGTGGTTGTGCATGCAGATGTTTCGGCAGCTGTTTGAGGAGGGTTTGGAGTTACAGAAGGTCCGGTTGAGAGAGCAGAGAGCCTACGCCAGGGAGCAGCGAATGGAGCATCAGCGACGGCACCAGGATCAGATCAAGTCCATGGAGAACTACTACAAAGACCAAGTAAGACTCAAACACAACCCCCACACACTGTTTAACCAGAAAGTAACACACTTTTGCAGTTTTAAAATAGACTTCACAGTTTCCATGTGAGGTGTGAGACTCTTTCTCTCTTTCAGTTTTCACTACTTGCTGAAAAACTTGCACAAGAGCGGCAGGAGATCCAGGTTCGGAAAAAAGCTCAAGAAAAGGTAAATTCTTTGCTTATTATTGTTAGAAATAAAGGCTGTCAGTTTTTACTCAAAACATTTGTCAGGAAAAAAAAAATTCAAACTGATACAGTTGATTTGAAGTAACCACTCAAAGTAGTTTGGCTCGTGGTCCAGCAGAGGGCGCTGTTGACATTTATTCTCAGCTTAACCCATTGCATGATCTACTCATCAGCAAACAACACAATTAACCTGACGAATTTACAAATACATCTGTAACCTAATTTGTTGTTGCACTTATCCTCACAACACTTTGCCAGAAGCTTATATAAAACCAATCGCAGATATGTCAACAGTACTTAGAAACAAGAATAAGAGGTCCTTTGGGATTGTTTTGGTAAAATGTTTTCAGGATATTGACTGAACTAGAGTCATAAGAGGAAATTCCACAATCTCAAGACAAAGAGCAGTTGTATGACAGCCCAGTCTGAAGTCTATAGACAACACTAATCACCCCCGGACAGGTTATATGGGTTCAGTTTGAATGTTTAAAGTGTTGGTTTGAATTCATTTAAACTCTTCTGTTTCTGTTTTTACTATGCATGGTATCGTATATGCAAGGAAAACTAAATATTACATGATGAATTTGCAGTGCAAAATACTCTAAAAAGTTATAGGCACTCCAAAGCATCTTTAATTTTAGAAAGTGCTTCCATTACCTTTTATACCAGCCATGAAGGTCAGTCAGAACAGAGAGACAAACATGGAAGCTGTGGTCTGGATTATTCACTTTTTTTCTCCTCTCGACATTTAAAACAAGAATTCACCATTAAAACACTTACTATCCCAACCTTTTACTTCCAGGCTCTTCTAAAGATGAAGCGAGAGCTGCGTTCCAGGATGGAGCGTGAAATCGGTGAGCTGCAGAAGATCATCATTCAGAACGACGAGGACGACTACTTCCAGGATCTGGAGGTCCAGAGGCTGCGTAATCGGGTCCAGATGGCCTCGTTCCAGTACAACACTAGCTATCTGCACTGATCGGGGGGGCTACAACATGTGGTTGAAGCTCCAGTCAATCAAGGGAACGTGCTGCGAAAGACTTTTCTGCTATTCACAACCAAGGGTACGAGAATCTGATGCATGAGCAGGACTGTCGCCTCAGACATCTTCCTTCAGAGATTTGCACAGGAAGAGGAAAGTCACATTGTAAGAACTTCTACAAGATTATTGATCATTAATGAACTCGACACACTCCAACGATATGTAGCTAATTTAGCTAACTCTTCCTCTCACCTCAGCTGCTACACCTAAAGACACCTTGGACCAAGTCCCCTTCTTCCATGGGTTCTAGTACTTGATAACTAAGAATGTTTTAACTCCCTCACTGTGCGGTTATTGTGTGCTGTCAATGTAGCAAAAAAAATAGTAAAATGTTCTTCCTTTTGCCAAATATGGACCACAGATGCAAATTTAAGTATGAATGTCACACACTGACAAGACTTAACTTCCTTTTTTTGTTTTGTTTTGTGTTTCCTCCCATGTGCGATGTCTTCCTTTTAATATTTTAACCTTGACAGTGGATTATTTATTTTTTAACTTTAATGATGTTTGATTTTTAAATTAACCTGGTGAGGTTTTGGATCACTGGGGGGGCAATGATAATCTGTCTTTCCTGACTTCTCCTTTCCCTCAGCTCCATTGTGATCGTTTTTAACCCTCAGCCAGAACTTAAGACATGATGGTTTTGAACTAACTCACCGAGGGTTCCGATGCTACAACACTGTCTGCTGACATTGTACCTAATGTCATCACCCATTAAATGTGTGGGCCCACTCGTCTCCTCTGGCTGAAACGTGTCACAGTTATTTGCATGAGATGCAGATGCCCTTTTTCTTTCTTCTTGAGATTCAACGCTGAATAAACCCGACCAAAGTATGAAATGCATAAGAAAATTGCTGCTGAGCAAAATAAAGACGAACATTTTAAATCCAAGGGGATCACGTTAACTTTTTATCAGTAATATCAATAAGCAATCCATTTATTATTGCTAATTAATGCTAGCTTTAAATGCTAAGCTGCAGCTGGGCCTCAAACAGGAAGTGTTTTAAACAGGTAACTGATGATGCAGACAAGAAAACTGAATGTTCATTTCCTTCTTCTTTCAAACATTGTCTTTTTGATGATCTGTGCTCACAGGGTGACTGTAGTTTAACAGCTTCAATGTTTAGCCCCATTCACTCCTAGTATTTTCACATCATCTGTGTCTAATAATTATTAAAATAATTAAAGCCGCAAGCGACGATGGACGGGTCCTCGCTCTACGCTTGTCGGCCTTCGCGCACGGCGGGACTGTGATCCAGCATGTCGAGTTTGGGGCAGATTGCGTGTAAAATTTCAGGCCGATTGGAGCACAGACACAGCACGTCTCGTATTCTGGTGTTTCATGGCGTTGTGGCCAAATTCAGGGGGGCGCCATTTCCACGCCATCACACCGTTTTACTAACGTGTAATCACCACCTGCTGTAGTTTGTGCTGGCCAAATTTCAGGTGTGTACGACCTTCCCTGTAGGAGGAGATAGATT